GCAATTTCACAAAACAACAGGAGAAGCTTCCAAAGCTTAATCCTCCAAGATTGGATCAAAAAGAGTCAACCTACAATGGTCATACCACAATATGATCAATCACATGCTTGAGAAAAACCCTAATTCACGACCATTAAGCCTCAAAGTGTAACTAATTGTGTTTCAATTTCAACAAACCAATTATATCACTTGAATCACCTTATCAACCAAATCACCAACACATTCACACACCTTTCATTAAGCCACAACACAATTTCCATCATTTTTCCTAATATTTTCCAATATGGCCGAATTATACATCAATGGAATCCAAGGATTTTTCGACTAATTAACATCCTTAAAACACTTTTTAGACTTCATAATTATGATTCAAACAACCACCAAACAATTACATCATCTATCAAAGACTTCATTCACAAATCATCATTCTTCCATCCTTGAAAATTTGTCTAAATGTTGGCACTAAGATTACTTAAATTTTTATTGCATTTCTACCGATTATTCATCCATACGAACAATAAATTCCAAAGGAACATAGCCATAAAACCTCTCTAACTATGCTCACCAACATACACATCATATTATGTCCAAAATTTTGATCCACAAGAAATACAAGGTGAAATTGAGAAATCTTACCACCAATGGATTCTGAGACTTCCAGAGATCAATATACAAGCTTCCAAGCAACAAAAACCACCAACAATGGCTACACTAACACCAAGAAACCACCATATTCAAACCCTTGGATCTCCTCACACACTCAGTTTCTCAAGAAATTCTTTTAGAGTTTTTGATCACCAAGAGATTCTGGGTATTTTTCATGTTGTAACTTTCTTTATTCGGTGTAAAAATAAAAAATTGCAAATCAAGCTCTTTCTCTAATGGTTGGTTCGAACATCAAGTAGAAGAAAGGAAGAAGAATAGCTTGTTAAGGCCAATTTCAACACCAATCAGAAATAGCCACCTTTTTGACTTTTTAATTTTTTTTTCAAAATATCTAAATTCAATTTACTTAATTAATCTTATTGAAATCTCAATCAATTTCAAGACTTAGGTATTTTCATAAATTCAAGATGCACAATTATGGTTTAATAATGTCACAATACAATGTTAAAAAGATCCTGGCAATTTTTGCCTAATTCCACTTTTGCCCATATTCACAAACTCAATGTATTTTTTCCTATAGTACCCCTAACTTAAGAATTTAATTAATTGTCTGTAATTAAGTAATTAAGCATGGATAAGAGGGTAGAATTAAGTAAGAAACTAAAATTAATAAGTTAAGGGCACTTTTGAGGCCAAAAGTGCAGTCAGCGAGAATTTAGAGGTAAAAATATGGGAAGGCAAAAGTACCCAAAATGTAAAAGTAAAAATAGAAATATGACTGGAAAAATATTCTAGTTCATTGGATAAAGTTTGGTAGCGAATGGAGATGAGTAGATAGATAAACTTTTACCCAGTTAAAGCAACCTACCATATGTAAATGTTAAAACCACTAAAACACCTCCCATTTGCTCATCTTTTTCGCTGGAAAGGGAGAAGACCAAGAATCCATTGACAAAGGAGCTCAAAACCTAATTTTCATATTTCCTAACCAAATCAACTCATTCTAAAGCCAATCTTACTTCCAATCTCACCCTCTTTAAAGGTGATTTGGGGTAAGTTTCCACCATCTAACTCTTATTTTCATGAAAATCTGATAAATCTAGGTTATGTGAATAGTGCCATACAAAAATTGGTTGGTGTGATGTGTTGGGAGTTGATTTGATCATGTAACCTTTGCAAAAATGGTTAGGAATGATAAATAAACAGTAAAAATGAGTTTAAATTTTTATTTTAGTATACTTTGGTATTTGGAAAAATTTATGCTTGAAATTAAGGATTTTCTTGCATTGTTAGCCTTGGTTGGTTGTATGTTTGATGGTGTCCCTTGTATGGCTAGATTGAAGCAAGTGGACCAAGTGGAGTGACCAATCCTTGTGGTTGTGCACAATTAAGGAAAGGAAAGCTTTAAGGAAAGTTCAAGAGCAAGTTAAACCTTTGGATCTTGGGGTTGATCCCCTTGATTGTTCCACCATACTCCGTTGAGGAGGAATGATTTATGAGGTGTGATATGTAATGATAATAGCAATTGTATGTTCATGCATTGACTCATGCATTGATAAATGTTATGATTTCTTAATGATCGTTGATTGATTATCAACTGTTATGGTGATATGTGACTGTAAATATTGATTGAGGTAATGATTGATAGAATTATGATGAGGATGATTGGTAGGAACTTCCCTTGGAAACAGCCCTATGTGGATCTCTCTTAGAGGTTCCTAGATTGAGGTTAGGGACTTCCCTTGGAAACAGCCCAATGTGAATTTTCATGTGGTAAGAGCCTAAGAGAAACAACCCTTCGAGGATCTCTCTTGGAAGTCCATGTGATGTTTATGGATAAAAATGTGTTAAGTTGGTATTATTGTGTGTTCACCGAAAGTGAACCTTAGGGTGGAGTGATCTCTAAGGACCCCAGGTTTACTGTGATATATTCATATATCTCATCCCATATTATCGGGCATCATTTCAGGTACTGATAGAGGTGAGGTTGATCGAGGCAAGAAGCATGAGTAGATTAAACCTGATAGCTGGACATTTTGGATTGCATGCTATTTAGGATTGTGGATGAATATGTCATTTATATTGTCACATGTATATGTATATTTTGAGGCCACGTGATGTATTTTAGAGGACTTAGTGCATGGTCATTGTGGTGGTGAATGCCTTGTTGTATATGGCTAATAGCTTTGATCATGTCTCTTTTGTGGCTATGTCCTTTGGCATGTAATTATCTTGAAGAATATTGTTGTAAATGATTCATTGTAACATTGATTGAATGTGAAGCATGTTTTCTCATTGTGATTTGAATGATAAATTGATAAATATGGTGGGATATGAGTGCCACAATATGTGTTGAATCATTGTTGGCCATGTCTGTATCTAATTCACCAAATGCTCCCTCAAGTTAGGTGTCATTATGTAGATTGAACTTGTTTTTCTATGTCAGAGCACGCTTAAGCGCTCTTCGTGGCCTAAAAGGACCAATTGCCTCTGCCTGTACATGTTTAAGCGCATTGGAGCGCGCTTAAGCACTCTACCGGGCGAAAAAAAATATTCGAAGAGGGAGCTTAAGCGCGCAGCCCATTTTCAGCACAAACATAAGTTAGTAAAATTGTCATAACTCGAGCTACATGACTCCAAATTGAGTGAGGTTTGAACCTATGTGAAGCTAACACATAGACTATAACCCTGTAAAATATTAGAGCCATTGGATGAGTATATAAATGTCAGTTCAGGATTGAAGTTGATGCTCTAATTCTGAAAGTTCAGTTTTGTCAGCTACGTTGCGAGTTTAGTAACTCCAGTTGTACTTAACCAAATGATTATTGTAATATCTTTCCTGAAAGCCCTAGATGACTAGTTTATCATAATGAAAAGGTCAAAGTTAATTGTTAAGTGAAGAAGTCTCAGTTTAGAGAATGTTACATGGTTATAATTACGATTTTGTTTTAAAAAGTAAATGAACAATGTTTTTGTGGAAAATTTTATCCGTAGTTTTAACTAATCAATGTGATTGTAATTGCGCTTAATATCATATTTCATGATAACACACCGGTCCGGTAACAGAGTTTTACATTTTCAAAAACATCAAATTCTTCAAATAATTATTTCTCTTGGTTCTAAACACTTATTTCAACATATTCCATTCCTAGAATATTAATATGATTTTTGAGTTTCTCTGTAAAATTATACCGCAATATTTCATCTGCTAAAAATCACTATTTATCAATTTTCCAGAAAAATGTCTATCCCCTTCTAAATTTCGTTCTGAATCCAAATCCAACATGATTTTCACCAAATAATGTCTAATTATATCATTTCATAATTTTAGGGTTTAGAAATTGTCAAATTAACATTTTGCCCTTCTTGTGCATTTTCACCCGAAACTCAAGATTTTCACCAATTAAACCCTCTAATATACCATTCAATCATAATAATGCAATTTTAATTGTGAGGTGTTATATTACGCCTTCTACCACTGTCGTCGCCTCGACCCTATAGTCCACGACCTCAACTGCCATTGCTCTGTTCAGCCACTTATGGGACAACTAGGGCTCTGATACCAAATAATGCTGAAGCAGTAACCAATTAGCTAAACAGAAAAAAGAATGAACACAAGAAGTGAGAGAAAATACTATTTCTCTTTTCTTAATTTTATTCAACCAAAAATATCCTCATAACAATAGGGTTCTCCAAGCCTTAAATAGGAAAACATAATAGCAAAAAAGATAAATAACTATAATTACACGTAATCAAAGGAGATAACCCATAATTAATGCACACTCTAACATAATCTAAGAATAACAAATAGGAAAATAATTAACAATTATTGAAAAACTCTAAATTATGGAATAAACAATAAAAAGGCCCAAAACTATTGATGCTCGTGGGGATGCGACGAGTCTTGCTCATAAGCCCATTTTGAGTTGGCTATTCAGATTTGAGCCCATTCCAAATTAATCATCTTAGGTGCATTAGACAGCCCATGTTACTGTCAAATAATTGAGTCTGCTCGCTGAATTGCTCACCTAAACGAGCAGTGTAGAGTATAACACTATTATTTGTTCAACATTTTGATGATGGGAGATGTAATTATCTTATATGTGAGTATTGTATGACTCTTTTAATTCATGTATAATGAATAATTAAGTGAAGTAAGGAATTGAGTAGTAATGATTATAAGTTAATACAGAACGAAAAAAAGTTTATATATATATTTCTACGGTATAAGTTTAATGTTATTTCCGCTATAAGTAATTAAGTTCACGATGCACTTAATAGCATAATGTATGATAACATATCAGTGGCCAGCAAGGTGTTACACATTGCAAATCAAAAAACAAGTGAATCCTATATGATGGAAAAGGCATTCCCAATAAAAAAATGTTGAATCCTCAATTCCGATTCAAGCATAAACATTCTCCCATTCTCTTTGTAAGTAATGTGAATATATTTTTCTTTGGCTCCGGTGATGGCTCTATTTTCACGGCAGGAGATGACTGTACGTTCAATTCAGCTGATGGTTCCAGTAATGGCTCTGTTTTCACGTTAGGAGATGATTGTACGTTCAGGTGATGGTTCAATTTCCTCGCTAATTTACGTCTCGATTTCCTCAGAAATTTTCGTCTCAATTTCCTCGGAAATTGACGGCTCATTTTCTTCAGAAATTGACGGCTCAATTTTCACAGTAGTTGAAGGATCAATTTCCATAGTAATTCACAGGCATTTGTTGATTTCTCACTGGAAAGCAAATAAGCAATGCATAAAGCTGTGAAGCCTAAGCGTACATTTAGTGCACACTACAAGACAAATACTCAGTTATCAATAGCACCACGATTTTTAGCCAAAAGATTGGAAGAAGAAAATGAGTCTGAAAAAAGTTTCGAAATTTCAAAATAATATGTAGAGAAAGATCTTACAGTATGTTCTGTCAACACATTAAGTACATCCTCATGAACCCATAATCGACTGCGCTCCTCCGGTTCTTCAGGTGAACCTTGACGAACAATTTCTCTTCCCATGTCACGTAGCAGATCATGCATTCCAAGCTTGTTATTCTTTTCAACTTTTATGAGGCTCCTTTCTATCAACACTGTTATTCCAATATCAGCATGAAGTCCACAACCATTTAGTATCTCTGTAACGTAGGCTGTGTCTTTACCAATAAAGAAACAACATATGTCAAGAAATATAACCTTTTCCATCTGGTCCCCTAAACCATCGAAACTTATTCTTAATTTTTCTTGAACCTGATCATTGGGAATTATTTCCAGTTTTGACAATACACTTTTCCATTCTTTCTTTTTCCTCTTGTACAAAGAAGAACCAAGGACTTCAAGAGCTAACGGTAGTCCTCCACAGTAAGCAACCACCTTTTGTGAGAGTTTAGTGAAGTATTTTACTGGACTTGCTTGTCCAAAAGCATGCCAACTAAAGAGCTCAAGTGACTCATTTTCGTCCATTTCCTTCATTCTACAAACACAGTCAACTTTAAGTTCTGTAAGTAGGCGCATATCTCTAGTTGTAATGATTATTACACTTCCTTCACCAATCCACTTGCGATTTCCACAAAGGGCTTTTAATTGCTCAAACTTGGTCACATCATCAAATACAAAGAGTGCCCTTCTTCCACAAAGTCTTTTTTCGATCATAGTTGTCCCCATCGCGATGCTGTGTATTTCAACTTTTGCTTTCAGGACATCACAAAGAAGTTGTTGTTGTAAATCAATGTGCCCTCTACTACTATCTCTTTCACAAACTTCTCTAATATTTTCAATGAAACTTTTATGCACAAATTTGCGATGAGTTTTATTGTAGATGGCTTTGGCTGTGGTGGTTTTACCCGATCCACCCATACCCCAGATCCCTACCATACAAACTTTGCTTGATTGATTTTCAATTAGCCCAATCACTTCTTGCAAACGAGATTCTAATCCAACAGGAAAATCGGTAATAGACAATAATTTGTTGTCTAATTTTGACGAAACTGTCGTGAACAATTTTCTTCACTAGTTCAGCTTCACTCCTTCAATAATAATTATAAAACAGACAAAATGAGCATGAATTACGAAAGGTGATAAGAATGGAAGATCTATTATCATATAGGAACACCGAACAAAACGTAACTCCTCACCAACTTTTTTACTTAAATGCCACGCGGTACACAGTGTTATTTCCCAATCTAAGTTCGCTATCCGTGTTTTAAAATTTTTTTGTTTTAAATTTTTTTTCTTTTCTTTCCTTTCTTTTCTTAGTTATTTTTCTCTCTTATTATTACTTTATTCTATTTTTCCTTTTAACTCTTTTTTTTCTAAATTTGTGGTATTATTTATTTTTTTAATTTTTTAATTTTTTTTCCTCAATATTTTCATACATTTCATTTGGGTCCAAAACTAGTTAAAAATCAATTTTAAGGATGTGCAAAAGAACCACAAGAAACTAGGGAAAAGTTCACCAATGCCCCTGTGGTTTACTTCAGAATCATTTATACCCCTGTGGTTTTTTTTTCTATCACATATGCCCCTGTGCTTTGTAAAAAATAAGAAACCACAGGGGTATATGTGATAAAAAACATACCTTTTTACAAACTACAGGGGCATATGTGATAAGAAAAAACCACAGGGGCATAAGTAATTCTGAAGTAAACCACAGGGGCATTGGTGAACTTTTCCCAAGAAACTAATGTCAAAAACCGTTGCTTGAGCTGAACTGGTTTTAAAAATTAGTTCTTGAACTGAACTATTTTTTTTTTCAATCTCTATTTCTCTTCTTTTATTTATTTATTTACTAGCTTCTTTTTTATTTATTTATTTTATTTTTATTTTATTTTTTCCTTTTTTCTCTTATGTACCTTTATTTCTTATTTTATTTTTTTTTATTGCTTTTTTTTTAATTTTTTGTATCATTTTTATTTTATTTTTATTTTTCTTTAATCTTCTTATAAATTTTATTAGAATTCAGAATTAATTTTAAAAACCAATCCAGTTCGCAATTTCTTTTTTTTCCAATACAATTTAGTTTGGCCAAGAAAACCGAACTGAAATAAACCAACCATACACACTAAATTATAAGTAACTATAAAGTATTAATTTACCTGCAATTCTTCATATCCCAACCAGACAAATTTGCAACTCGGGTGAGTGCTCTCCTCCATCCCCGCACCACTTTATCCAACGTTGTACCTGACAACTTTTTTTGTTTTGCAAGTTTTTCCAGTACTTCTCCAAATTCACCCGTCTGTTTACGTACAACCGATGGGTCAACACCGTAGAATACTAGAATACGGGCACAACCACCTGACGACGTCTTTGGTAGCGCTTCATTATTTGTTCGAGCTCCGTAAGACACCAACTAGATTCCGAATATCTTTCGGAGAAAACAACCAAAGCTATCTGAGACTTTTTTATTGCTCTAAATAGTTCAGATTCCAGATTTTTCCCCTTCGGAAGCTCTTCATCGATGTAAGTCTTGATTCCAGCATTTGAAAGTGAAGCGTAGAGATGAGAAACGATGTTGTCACGAGTGTCTTCCCTTCTGAAGTTCAGGAACACGTCGTAGACCCATCGATGATTCGAGGATGAAGAATAAGACATTGTCTCGATCAACAGAATTGAAAAGTCAAACGGTTACAAGACAAAGCAAAAGTGAAAAATACAGGGTGATGAGATGCAACTTATATTTAAAAGAAAAAATATTTTGAAAAATACTTGAAATTATATGAAAACTAAAAGACGTAATCAAATTAAATAAAGTTTAAAAAATATTAAAAAATTAAAAGATATACATAGTTAATTTAAAAAAAATTAAATTTATAAAAAGATATACATAGTTAATTTAAAAGAATTTAAATTTATAAAAATGAATTATTTCGTAAAAAAGAGAGTAAAGATATTAAATTACTCTCAAGTAAGGGTACAAATTAGTTGAGTTATTCCAGTTTGACACAAGTGTGCGGTCAACCTCATTTATTTTACTAAAAAAAAAAAAATTCAAACTTCACTTTAGGTTTCATGACTTAAATGAGTTGACTTGATTTAAAAAATGTCCACTAAATATTAAATTAATAAACGTAAAGATATTTCAACAGGATATTCGATATAGCAAAGAAAAATACTTTTAAACGAACTGAGAACTAGTGTTCGACTTGATCGAGGTCAGTCAGGGGTTAGTTTAATCAGAGAGTAAAAGTTGATTTGATTGATCCGATTTTATATATTAAAAAATTATTAATATATACTCTATATAAAAAATCAAATTATCAATCATAATGATTTAAAATATATTTAACATAATTCAACTAATTATATCCATAAATCAATATTACACAAGCTAATCAATATCAAATTATCAAAGTCGTACAAAAGACATATTCCAATGGAGTTAATCAAAAGTTATATCATCAAACTCAGATCTTTTTATCCTTCTCATATACCTACAACAGTATGTGAAACGAGATCTCTTACCCAAAAGAGAATGACAAAGGAGAGGAGGCAGCGCGACGAATCAACTGTAAGAAGAGAAGAACCAACACGGCGAAAGAGAAGGGGAAAGAAGACTAAATAGGATAGGAGGAATCACCTCTACGGCGGAGTAGAGCACCGAATCAGAGAGACTGAATCTAGGTTTGGGAGAGAAATCGGAAAAAAAGAAGAAGAAAAACCATTTAGATTTCAGATCTAGTTTTAGATTAGGCAGCAACTAGTTTTTTTTTTACAGATCAAACGACAACGTCTTTTCGTGTGTAAATTATTATTTCTTTAAATACATCCTCTAACCTGGAAGTCACGGATTCAATCGGGGGATTTCAGGAGTTAACGCTCATGTAGAATCTAATTGTTTACCTCAACTCTTATGGAGAAGGAGGGAGTGATCCAAGCGGGATCGACCCGGACGGGACGAAATTTTAAAATACTACTGAGCTAGAACACGAACTCGTGGATGGAGATGGTCAAATGGTGGATCCTATATCTTCAATTCAACAACGTAATGACTAACTGAGAAAACAAACTAAGGGAAGAGGGCTATATGAAAAACCACTTAGGTAAGAAAACTGGAATGAAAGAAACAAGAAAAGGGAATTGTTTTTCTCATTTAACATAAACATATGGAAGAGAGATGAGAGAGAATAAAGGAGAAAGAGAAAATTTAAAATGGATCTCACATTCAATTTGTATCTAATGTATGAGATAATTATCTCATGTAAAATAAGATAATTATTTCCCACAAGAAAAACATTACAATTGCAACTATTGTTGGTTCAAGTCACGTGGAGAGAAAAAGAGAGATGAAGAAAATACAATTGAATAAAGCAGTAGGCTTATTACCATTTTTTTACATAAAGGAAACTGCAATGAGCTTTTGATAAACAACTTTTTAACATCCATGCGCAAACAAACACAAAAGAAAGCAACAGCCTATGAAGCATCGACACTTCAAAAATTCTGACGTGTCGTGTCTGACACTTCCCGACATTTCAACACTCGTTGCAAAGACTCAAAAAAAGGTTCAGAGATTACGTTGCGTTGCATTTTGAATTCCAACTATTAGATTCCTTAGATTACGATTACGATTGTATTGAGTTTAATATAAACATTTGGGATATATTATGTTTCTTTGTAAAATTGATGGGTATTATAAGTTTGACTTTATTTTTTTTGTTAAATTATTGAATATTAAATATAATATAAACTATATAAATTAAAAATATTATATAATAATAAAACGTGTCCTAACGTATCGAAATTTAACATTTTTTAGAATTAACGTGTCGGAGTGTCGTGTCGTATCCCATGTCCCGTGTTAGTGTCGGTGCAACATAGGCAGCAGCATCCGCAACAACATCATTATATGCAAAGAATATTAGCTATGTGATAGAGACCAACAACTAAAATACAGAAATAACACAAAACAAGGAAAATTGGCGTGAATAATCAGATTTTTATATATTCATCAAGAGACAATTCAAATGACAGTAAAACAGAGACAATTATATAACAAGCAAAATTACAATGAACATGGAAATGAAAATAACAATACAGAAATGTAAAAATAATGTTAGATAATTGGAAAGGCCTCACTCTCTACCAAAATCTTTGACAAGTCACTTAAGTGGAATATCAATTGAATGGTTGACTTTGTCCCACTAAATTACTAAGTAGTCCCTAAATTTACTCTACTTATAACCTAATCTTCTCAAATTATTCTAACTTAATAAATTATATTTCCATATCATAAAATCTTCTAATTAATCATATTATGAGGTCATAACTGAGTTTAGGCCAACTTTTGCAAAATTGCACTTTGGTCCCTTATAATTTAATTATATTTTTTGTTCTAAATAACTTGTTTGGTATAATTGGATTTTCATAATAATTATCATATAATCATCTCATAATCCATGGTTAATCCGATTATTTAACAATTAATTTGTGTGGGCTATTATACATTCCATCCATTTTTTGTATGTGTTCTATCAGATTAATTATCTCATGCAACATGGAAAACTTTATTTTCTTAATGAAAACATCAATTCTTCGTATTTTCTTTCTTTTGAAAACAGAAAGTGGAAAACAAAGCAAAAACACCTCAAGGTTATTCTCTAAAATCTGTTTTAAAACCTAAAAATAAAAAAATTAATTTTTTTTTACTGAACATGAAATACCAAACCTTTTTCCTTTGGCTATTTAATATGTTGCTATCTTTGGTTCTCTTTATCATGTTAGTATTAGTAATTATGCAACTTGAATCAGGCCCACATATGACCCAACAGAGGCGGACCCAGGTGGGTGCCCATGTCCACAAGTGTGGAGATAAGATTTTAGTTTTTTTTTTCTTGGTTGTAGGTTCTTATTTGTCTCTTGGTTCAATATTTATATTAGAAGTAAATATATTTTTAAGTCCTTAACAAAAAATAAAGTCCCCACATTAGTCCCTTATAAAAAAAATAAGCCTTGAGGTTCCTAAAAAATTCAAAGTAGATTAATTTAAATTCAAAACAGACCCACATTAGTTGCTCAAAAGGACTAAAATGTGTCCACTTTGAATTTCATAGGGACCAAGTCACTAAATTTTTTTTGTAAGGGACTAAAGTCGGGACCGAATTTTTTGTTAGGAACCAAAAAGAGTATTTACTCTTATATTAGTTAGCAACGTAGCAACTTACAGAGATGATTAAAATAACGTAACAACACAAATTTATTAAAGAGAAAATTTATTCTTCCTCTCCTGTCACGTATCCATTCTCATGCTCTCTTCATCCTTTGTTTCATTTTTCATTTTTTTCTAAAAAGAGAGATTGATTGCAGGTCTGACATTCTCAAATAAGTTAATCTCTAGAGACGAGGCCTTTACTGTAATTTCGCTTGCAATCTATACAGGTAGTGTTTACTTTTTTATTCACCATTATAAAATAGAATGATGATGTATAGATGTACTGGAGTATATTCTAATATTTGTTTTGCAAGATTGATAAGATTTAGGGGAAAATGATTGGTCAAACTATTGTATGCAGCTTGTTATGGAATCAACTAGATTATGAGCGAGCAGCTTGTTATAGAAGCAACTAGATTATGAGCGAGTTCATAACCTTGTAAATAAAACTGTCTTTACCAAAAAAAAAATCGAGAGCAGCCCACCACTAAATGTGCGGACATAAAAAAAAAATTTGGGTCCGCCACTGTGACCCAATATGTGCAGCGAATTACCACTATTATTAAAAGCTTAAAGAAATAATTTGATTGCATGATATAAACATAGGGTTTTCGTTTTATCCTTTAACATAACACAACAAATTTTCCTACACTCACAACATTTTGTGGGGCCCACACTTTTTAAAACAAAAAAATAAATAAAAAATTAAAGCACGCAAAACGAATCTCTATAACATTACACAATCACTTTTCCTACAACATAACTCTTATAAAACCCATAAACATATTTGGAAACAAGTTAACAATAGTTGTCGGCAAAATATCATTTTTTGTTATTTTTAATGTTCAATAATGCTCCCACAAAATGCACATTTTTGCCAACTCTTGGATTTATAGGGTTTTCGTTTTATCCTTTAACATAACACAACAAACTTTCCTACCCACACAACATTTTGTGGGGCCCACACTTTTTAAAATAAAATAAAAAATAAAAAATTAAGGCACGCAAAACGAATCTCTATAACATTACACAATTACTTTTCCTACAACATAACTCTTATAAAACCATTTTGGTTTCCGAAAGCTTCACGTCGAGCATGTTGAAAACAAATGTTGCTAATTATATCAGAAGTGTGGGAGAGGTGGGAGCTTCTAGTTTTAATAATTAGGAAAAAGTTCACCAATGCTCCTGTGGTTTGCTTCAGAATCACCTATGCCCCTGCGATTTTTTTTCTATCACATATGCTCCTGTGGTTTGCAAAAGGGTATGTTTTTTATCACATGTGCCCCTGTGATTTTTTATTTTTTACAAAGCACAGGGGCATATGTGATAAAAAAAAATCACAGGAGCATAGGTGATTTTGAAGTAAATCGCAGGGGCATTGGTGAACTTTTTCCTAATAATTAACATGTGTAAAGAACCAATTCAACCCAAGCTGTTGGGTGAGGCTACATTAATAGTTTTATATATCTCAACACGCCCCCTCACACGAGAGCCCATTAGGCTTGAAGGGTGGATAATGCACATGCCCACCTACCTGTGCGAAGAAAGAAATTCCACTACAAAGAAAGTGGGGGGCGGTGAGGTTCGAACCCGGGATACGAGGCTCTGATACGATACCATGTAAAATAACGAGAGAGAAGAGAATAACATTTCAAATAATACTGTGTGTATTAAAATGATACCATGTAAAGAACCTTGGGTTACACTACCCAAAAGCTAGCTCAAAGGGTGGGAGTACTCAAGGCCTTATAAACTCCACATTAGTTGCTCATGCAACCAATGTGGGACTATATATCTCAACACGTCCCCTCACACAAGAGCCCATTGGGCTTGAAGAGTGAAAGATGCAACAGGCCCAGCCTACCAGTGCTAAGAAAGTCCACAAGAGAAAGTGGGGGCGGCAAGACTTTGATACCATGTAAAGAACCAATTCAGCCTAAAAGCTTAAGCTGTTGGGTGAGGCTACATTAATGGTTTTATATATCTCAACAACATGCATTGGAAAAATAACGGGACTTTGGATATAGTGTTGAGGTGTGTCTTCCTAATGATGGAGTCGTTGTAGCTCGTCATGCTAATGAACACCAATGCCTAGTGGTGCTTATCGTGCTCAACATTAAAATTTCTGCAGACACATAACAAGATTCATCACCAATGTGGGATTATATATCTCAACACGCTCTCTCACGCAAGAGTCCATTGGGCTTGAAGAGTAGAAGATGCAACAGGCCCAGCCTACTTGTGCTAAGAAAATCCACAAGAGAAAGTGGGGGACTGCGATTCTGATACCATGTAAAGAACCTTGGGATACACCACTCCAAGAGCTAGCTCAAAGGGTGGAAGTGCCCAAGGCCTTATAAATTTCACATTAGTTACTCATACAACCAATGTGAGACTATATATCTCGACAGTGATTAATTCGAAGACTGGGTTTGCTTACAAATTTTAGTTTTCAAGCAAGTCTGGTAAGCACAATTTCTCTTTAATATCACCTAATATATGTACCAAACGTTGTCTTATTTACCTTTTTCCCTTAAATATCACATAATAGTCTAATACCAACAGAGAGGTTACTTCAAACTTGTACTCCAAGTTAAATATCTGTATTCCACCAAATATTTTCCTTACAGTTGTATAGTATCATACCTTGTTTAGTCAAGTAATCATGAAATATGATGACGTTGAAAAGATTTTAAGATTTTCAGAACCTCCACAAGAAAACATTGCAAATCATAAAACAAGTGAATCCTATGATGAAAAAGGCATCCCCAATAAAAAATTGTTGAAACCTCAATTCCGGTTCAAGCATAAACATTCTCCCATTCTCTTTGTAAGTACTATGAAGATATTTTTCTTTAGCTTCGGTGATGGCTCTGTTTTCATGTTAGGAGAAGACTGTACGTTCAATTCAGGTGATGGTTCCATTTCCATGCTAATTGATGGCTCAATTTCAAAAGTAATTGACTGGCCATATATTAGATACACGGCTGTCTCCTTAACAGTTACTCCATGCCCAAAAGCTAAAAAAATCTCCACATTGTCACCAGGTCCTAGATTTGATATTACACCCTCCCAATCTTCATCATTAAAGGACATTGCCGTGTCTCCCTTGCATACATGGATGGTGCACTTTGTGTAATTAAGGATCAAGACACTAATAAGACATTCAGCAGCCATGTTTTCAGGGGTTGATGAATAAACAACACACAAAATCATTCCCTTCATGGGACGATCAGGAACTTGAAAAAACACTGAATGTCCTTCACCTGTATAGGCTGACCAATTAGGACAATTATCACCCGGAAGGAAAAAATCACTAGAACCATTGGTTGCCAATCCCTGTATCATGAACCAAAAGCTTAATTATATATGTAATTATGCTATTCAAATGAACTTTTTGTGACACTATGGTGTCATTCCGAATTCCTGAAGGTGAATGTTTAAGATAATAACAATGTAATGGGTAAAGAAAGATATAGACAAATGTTGAAAAAAATTCAGTCAATAGTTTTCTAACACAACCTGTAAAGAACTTTGAGATACACCACCACAAAAGCTAGCTCAAAGGATGGGAGTGCCCAAGGTCTTATAAATTCCACATTAGTTGTACTCATACAAAAAATGTGGGACTATATATCTCAAGACGCCCCCTCACACGAACAGGTTTGAACCCGGGACATGACACGAGGCTCTAATACCATGTAAAGAACTTTGGGATACACCACCCCAAAAGCTAGCTCAAAGGGTGGGAGTGCTCAAGATCTTATAAACTCCACATTAGTTGCTCATACAAACAATGTGGGACTATATATCTCAACACAACCATTTGCTTTGTTAGCTATACTACTCATTAGGTGTGCTTGCCATCCAAGTTCACTCATCATTCAGCTATTGCAGCCTCAGGCTTATTTGGCTCTTGGTGTCTTAACCGCAAGCTATCTTAGGCTGTTGTTGTAATCAGTTAAGACAAATTTTGGAATTGTATCACTTCTATATTACACACCTGACCCTATCATTTATGTTAGTTTATCATATAGATACTTGAAAATGTAAAATTATTCCATGTTCTCTGAATCAATAATAAAGATCAGTAAAGGTAAGAAGATAGAGAAGGAACCTGTGATATGCTCTTGCCAAGGGTATCCATGACCATATGGTAACTTCCCATTCACATTAAAAGAGATCTCAATGAAAGATCTGAAATTTGGGATGCATATGATGTTGTTTCCACTTCAGTAAAATTTACATCACATATGTCATCTAGAATTTTTCGTAATCCTTGGGTTAATTGAAACTCCGAGCTGCATTGCACACAAACACTTCGAAGTTTTAAAAGGTTCTTCAGCATTGGTGATAGAAAGCCCAAATTATTAATATGTAGATCCATGGAAACTAGAGAGGATGACATGCCCCTAAATGGTGGAATATGGGATAGGGGATTCATTGTTGGTGACATCCAAGACCATATGAGAGAAGGAAATACATCACGTGCTAATCCTTTATAATAGCCCATCTTAACTAATTAGTAAATCAAGTGTAATTAATTAATTAAGCATGTTTTACTGAGTGAAATTAAGTATAAGGCTTAATTAAATGAATCTGAGTCACTATGGAGTTAAAAAGTGTACTCAGTGAAAATTAAGGGTATAAATGGGTACTGGTGAAAGTGCCCAAAATATAAAAATAAAAATAGTAATATTCTTAGAATAATATTCCAGACTTTTGGGTAAAGTTTGGTAATTATTGGAGTTGAATAGATAGACAAACCAATACCCGCTTAAGACCACTTAAGTTGAGTTAAGTGACCAAAACACAAAAAACCATTTCATTTTCCTTCTTCTTCCCGTGGTTCAGCGACAGAGAGAGTGAGGAAGACATAGGTGAGCCAAAAACCTAGCTTTCTCATTTGGTGTCCAAATCAACTCATTCCAAAGCCTAAACCACTCCAAATCTTCCCCTCTTTCATAATCCTAGCTTTGTTTTGAGTGGGGAGCTTTGTGGAGAGAGATTTTGGCTCTCAAAAATTCGGCCATTTGAGAGATTTTGGGGTTTTGGGAAGTTCAACCTCCATGGGAGCTTGAGGAACACTCCTTGCTTGGTTGTGTGACCATTGGTGGTAAGATTCTAACCCTTGAACCTCATGATTCCTTGAAATTTGCATGAGTTAGGGTTTATGAATAGTGTTTTAGGGATTTTGATGAAATGTTGTTAAATTAGCTATGTTCTAGGAAGAATGGAGCTTAGAGCATGTTGTGAAAAATGCTAGGAACGACGTTTAATCGGTGAAAATGAGCTTAGATAGCTAAATGATTATATTTGGAAAATTGCAAGAATATGACACTTGGTTATGAGTTTTCTTGCGTTGTTGAACCATTGTTTGGTTGGTCATTGATTGTATCCTTGTGTTGTCTAGGATTGAGGCAATTGGATCAACCTTAATTGACCAACCTTTGGAGCAAGCAATGGAGATGGATTAGTCCTTGAAATAGGTAAGTTCATCCTTGTGTTGTGGTATGAATAAGATAGCTTGGATTGATGATGATGAGTTATCCTTGAATGCAATATGTTAATTGCATTACCCTTGTATAGGTGTATATTTGTAAAAGTTGATTGCTGAAACTGTTGGTGAAGAACAAAGGTCGACTGAAGCATTGAGGTAAGCCTTCGGACCTTGGGTGTAATTCCCTTGACTGTTCCACCAAGCCCTGAAAGGGTAGAGGTTGTGATTGTGTATATAAATGCAATAAAATAGTGTAATGCTTTGTTATACGTATGTGTATGCATTTGGTGTCGCATAGGATGGTGTTTCCCTATGTTGGTATGTGGCATGACGATGCGTAAATCATACTTGGTAGTTAGCTGGCCAGTAGGACTATTTGCATCTGAGTTTCCTTAGGACAGCTTGAGAGCTCGAGGGATTTCTCCTGGAGATGTATTGCACTTTGCATAGATATGTATTTACTGCATTATTATTGTTATTGCTATTACACTGATATGGAACTGTGGGGTGGAGAGATGCTCCAAGGACCCCTGGTTTACTGGATATATTCGTATATCTCACCCCGTGTTGTGGGGACCCCCTTTTAGGTAAGGATGCTGCAGGAGCCTCTGGTGGCAAGTGGCCATATCTGGATTATGCATGAAATGTGGCATTTCTTTTGAGATTGTACATGTTGTTTTGTAGCTCATATGTATAGAATTAAATGAATAGGCAATGCTAGATTTATGATTTGTATATTGGAATGGACTTAGCCTATGCTCATGCCTTTGGTCATCTCTTTTGTTGATGGGAGCCAAGGGAATGATCATAGTGTTTTGTAAGCTAAGTTCAATGATTTGTAATGGATATGTAATGTAAATGATGCCTACTTGAAATTCAATATATGCATGCTTTTATGTATTGAGTTATTGAATTGGTTGGACTGAGAAATCATATTAGGTACCTAGTTCTAAATTGGGAATTGTTGAGAAAACAAGGGTTATGCTGCCCAAATTTTAGTACAAGCCATGAGGAAAAGGGCATGCATGTCCCTTTAGATGTGTTTGTATTATGCAAGAACTAAGAACCATTTATGAAGAGGAATTATATGATAGGTTGGGACGGTGGTGTATGTATGGAAGTTGTAGATATTTTTCTTAGCTTTCCATAGAGACCAATATTGTGTGAATTGGACATGTATAACTCTAGTTAGAGGTAAAATACTAAGAATTGGTGAAACCTTCAGAGCTTTGGCGCACCTGGCGCCAAACTTGGCGCACCTCACGCCATTTTGCTCAAAAGCTTCTGTTTCGTGGCGCAAATCGCGCCGGGATCACCAGCTGGCGCACCTGGCGCCAACCTTGGCGCCTCCAGCGCCATTTCGATGGGGAGCTTCTGTTTCGTTGGCGCCTGTCGTGCCACAGCTGGCGCCGGTCGCGCCGGGATCAGCAGGATTCACGCGCTCATTTCGTAGAAAACCCATAACTTGGGCTACAGTGCTCCGATTTGAGCGCGGTTTGAACCCACGCGTAGCTAACGAAGAGATCTACAATATAGTAGAAGTTGTGAAATAAACAAGAAGTAAATTAATGGTTTAAAAATGGAATAAGAACATGATGTTAAGCTTGGTTTATCTGATTCCGCAAGGTAATATGGTTATGATCACGCAATTGGATATTTTAAATTCGGCGTCGTTTTAAAAAAGAAAAATTTATCTGGATTTTTAATTGAGCCAATGTGATTGTAACTGCGCTTAATATCATAATGCGATGTTAACAAACCGGTTCTAGAACAGGATGTTACATTTTATGGTATCAGAGCAGTTTTGTCGGGAATAACTGTTAGCTATTGTTGAGTATGCTTAGTGTTTGATGCTTTATAGTTGTTTTAGTACTCTTTATGATTATTGCATTTGTGATCACTAAGTGTGGGCCTGATCAACTCACTTCTTTGTGTAACATGTGTAGTTACATGACGAGGCACCGAAACAACCCCGGACCATCAAACACCGATGCTCAGCCAGAACCTGTTTTGGCTGCCCTTGTTAGGCCCAGAAGTGGTCGTGGGGCAACAGGTGGTCAACCTGAACCTGTGACGGCTACTATGGTCGATATGCAAAGGGAATTGGCGGCTAGTCGACATGCCAATGAAATTTTGATGAAAACTAATGAGGATGCGCGGACTGCCATGGCCGCAATGATGACTGAGTTGAGGACGTTGAGGGGTCCTAGGCCCGGGAACCGGCAACCCACTCCTCCTCTTCACACTGCTACGCCTTCTCCACCTCCTTCACAAGAAGAGGGTGTAGCTGGTAACAATGAAGGTGAGGGTAGTCAACATTCTGGAAGTCGTAGTCATCACACCGAGGTTCGCCAACCTCATGTTGAGAATGTCGGTGACCAAGAAGTGGAGGAAAGAAGACTGATGGCTTTCCGAAAACACAAACCTCCTTCTTTTAAGGGAGGTAATGAGCCAATGACGGCTGCAAAATGGCTCCAAGCGATGGAGAAAATATTCAGGGTGATGAGATGCCCAGATGCAATGAAGTTGGCTTACTCTATTTATATGCTGGAAGAGGAAGCGGAAGATTGGTGGACCAATACCGTGCAGCCATTAGAAGCTGAAGGTCGGGAGATCACATGGCGGTTGTTCGAGACGTCATTCTTGGACAACTACTTCCCTAGAGAGGCTAGGGAAAAAAAGCAGAATGAGTACAACGATCTCAAGCAAGGGTCGATGTCTATTGACCAATACTTCTCAAAACTCAATGAGTTGGTGAAATACGCCAACTATGGGCGAGCCTTACCCACTCCGACTGAAATGACCTCCAAGTTCCAATGGGGTCTTAATGAGAAGATGTCTCGGAAGA